ATATCGCTATATCTTCAAGCGTTCTTGAGATTTTCACTTGAAATTTTGTAGGGACATTTTAGAATTAGTGTAGATTCGAATTAAATCAAAAAAAGTTTTGACACCGAGAATGGGGGCGGGGGGGTCCCCTTAATGGCACAAAATTTGGTAAATTTGAGTTTTGTGTGAACCGATATAGCTGGAACGCTGAAATCTGGAAATAAGATTACTACTGAATTGTAAAATTGAGGTAGCTAGTTTTGGAAATTCAATTCAACAATTGAACTTTGAGTGAATCTAGAATCCTGAAATATGGAGTTAGGATCGCTGTTGTGTAGGATTGGAATATGTAGAAAGTTTTGGAAATTTCGAACTATTCGAAATGCGTACAAATATCTACTAAATTTTGCTAAATTTGTTACAAAAATAATTTTGGGTGACTCGAAATGGTTGGAATCATGAAATAAGATAGTATCATATAGATAGTTTTTTTTTTTTTTTTTTAAATTCGTACTTATGTGTCCTAAATGATACTAAACTTGGTACAATTTGAATTTTGGGTAAACAGATAGATAGAATTCTCATATTTGGAGTTAGGATCGATGTAATAGTTTAGAAGTTTTGGAAATGTAGTAAATGGAATGTGTACTAAATGGATCTAAATTTGAAACAATTTGGATTTGGGTAAACCGACAGGTCTGGAATCCTGAAATAGGGAAATCATATTTCGATTGGTAGTATGATATATGTAAGTATAGAAATTCGTACTTATGTTTACTAAGTGGTACTAAATTTGATATAATTTGGATTTATGTGATCCAATCGAGCTTTAATCCTGAAATTTGGAAATAATTACTACACGAGTACAAAAAGTAATAAATGGTACAAAATTTAATATTGAGCTAGATCTATGTTGCGGTCAGAATTGAGAACACCCACTTTTCTTATATGAGAATATCATTCGAACTTCCATGAGAAGACCTTCTGAACATATATTTTGTTCTTCTATAAGATCTCCTGGCATTCTATGCAATGAAGACTTTCTGGTCTTCTATAACGAAGGCTACAAGATAACCTTCTTGTCGTCTATAACGAAGATTATTTGGTCTTCTATAAGAAGACATTCTGTTCTTCTTTAAGATAATATTCGGGTCTGCTATAAGTAGACCATCCGAGGAAAATGCTTTCTGATATTTTATGTGAAGAACTTCTAATATTCCATAATATGGCATTTTGTACTTCTACTGGAACACTCACTGGTCCTCTATAGAAAGACTCTATTAAAATAACCACTAGTCTTCTATAAGAAGGGTATTTTACAAGAAGTCTTTCGGATCTTCTATAAGAATATCTTCTGGCTATCTATAATGAAGACCACCATGTTTTCTAAAGTCAATACTACCTGGTCTTCTATAACGAATGCCACCTGATCTTCTATAACGAATGTTGTTTTATATCAAGACTTTTTGTCTTCAACAATGGAGAGCTTCCGGACTTCAATAAAAAGACAATTCCATAAGGAAACATCCAATACTTCTATAAGTTAATATTCTGATTCTAAATAATTAAGTCATTTTAATATAAAAATCTCGATCCATATATGAGTAGACCTTCTGAGGTCTTTAATCAGAAGACTTTTTGCCCTTATATAAAAAGACTTCTTGGTCTTTTACTTTACCCACTGGTCTTCTATAGAAAATACATTAAACTTCTATGCGAGAACCATTGTTTCTTTCAGAATACTAAGAATATCCAATGTGCTAATATAAGAAGATTAACCGGTCTTTACAAGTGGCCTTTACAAGAAGACCCACAGACCTTGTAAGATCTTAGAAAGAGCGCAAAGGTACTTAATGGTACTCAAGTTTTAATTATAATCGATATTGGTGTGTATTATGATTAAATCTTCTGACATGTCCAGTCTTCTGAGAAAACAACATAATATCTTAAGAAATGTTTAAATATGTCCCACATTCACTAACGAAGTAGCGAGCATATTCTAGTTTTGAATAAATAATTAAAAAGGGTAATTCCATACCGCCCATCACGCATCAAAATGATATTGACCTTTATGCCAAATAATGTCGGTATATGCGACTACAACAATTCTATATATGTAAAAACGTCGTTAAATTCGCCCGGTCTGAATTTTTATACTTCCTACCATGAGGAGGACATTCAAAATATCTAAAATCAGTGGCGAATATAGAATTAAATAAATTGTCCGCCAGCAAATTTGTTGTCTTGTGTGAAATGAAATTAGAGACAATTTATTTATTCTTTTCGCATGGGTCTTTTTGTAGATCGAAGACTTCGATTAATTAAATGGGGTCTGTGAATAATTTATGTAGTATATAAACAACGATATTTTCTCATTCCATAGTAAAATAAGGTTTTAGTGAATTCCAGGAATTTCGCAATAAACAGCCTTTAAATAAAAACTATTTTCACCCTTGATTTATAATTCGACGCCAGACTATAATGACAATGCAAAAATAAAATTTGAAAATAATAAAAAAAAACATTCTCATTTCATTCTGCATTTTGTTTATTGATAATCAATCGAATATAGAGAGAAATGTGATGGTGTTGGTGAAGTAGGAGGGTGAGATTATTGAGACCAATAAGACTTTACAACACTTGGTCGATCGGTCGTATCATATCGGGACATATCGATAAACTGTTGAAACAACCGAACCACACATTGCCCATAAAAAACGTGCTACCACCACCTTATTATTATGAGAGCGAGCGCGACGGCGTATTATCATTATCAGTGAAGAAAATAATAACAATTTTAAGTATTCCGAAGAAGTTTGATAATCGCGGCAGGAAAAACAAAAAAACACACACACGAATAGACGCGAGTGGATACTCTTCGAAAAAATAAAACAAACTGCACAATCGAAAAACGTTTAAAGTGCGTGGGATGTCTAGGCGACAACGTCGATAAACGGAACAAAAATATATTTTACAAAATTTTTTATAAAAAAAAATATTATCTATTAAATTAAATGCTTCGACGGTAAATAAACAGAAGAGAGAAAAAATGTGGTCAATTAAATATTTTGTTTTTGGGATCGTGATCCTACAATCCCTGACAATGGGATTAAGTGCAAATGTAACCGAAAATCCGACAATAAACTACAGTGAAGATACTGAAGATAATATGAATTTTACAAAGGTGCCATTATGGACGGTGAAATTCGAAGAGAAGTTATTAAATATGTCAATGGGTGATATACGAACCGTGGAGTACGAAATTACAAATATAGATCCTTTGTGGGGAGAGGATTACGAATTCCATGTTGTTAACATGGATCATCATCTGCTAAGGCTTTCAAATAATATTATAAAGATTGCAGCAGGACAAACATCATGGCGTGGGAATTTCACTGTGGAAGCCATACTTCTGGGACGCAGTGAAATCTATGTGGAATTACATCGCCTATCCGGTGGTGTGGATGAGATAGAAACCTCCCTGGAATCACTTGATGTTATGGTCTTACGCAGCATTGGTACCATGGACATTGTCTTCCAAGTGTTGGTGGGCTGTTTTGTTATGGTGTTATATGTGAATTTTGGCGCTGTCCTGGAATTAGATGCCCTTAAGCGTATCCTAGTGAAACCCATTGGACCTGCCATCGGCTTTGTTGGCCAATTTATGGTTATGCCAATTTTAAGTTTCCTGATTGGTTACTATTTGTTTCACGATATGATTGAACTGCGATTGGGACTGTTTTTTACCGGTTCAACACCTGGTGGCGGAGCTTCGAATATTTTCACGGTGATACTGAATGGAAATCTGAATTTGTCCATAACCATGACAGCTATTAGTAATTTGGCCGCATTTGGTATGATGCCAATATGGATATTCACATTGGGTGCTTTGATATTTAAGGATGGTCATTTGGCGGTACCCTATAAAACGATTGCAGCAATGTCATTTTCGTTGGTTCTACCATTGGCTATTGGTTTGGCATTGCAAAAATATGCTCCCACGGTGGCTAAGAAAATGTCCAAAATAACAAAACCCTTTGCAATTATGTTTATTATTGTCATTACGGGATTTGCATTTACCACAAATTCTTATATGTTCAAGCTGTTCTCGTGGAAGGTAGGTAGTCGCAAATGTGAGATTATATTAAATTATATTGTAGACAAGTAGTGTGTTCGAAAACGAAACATGTGAATGATTTTTTAAAAGGGAGTTTGTAAGGAATGGCTCTCTATAAAGCGGTATAGCCGAAAATGACAATTTTCCAAAAGTAGTGAATTTAAAAAATTGCATCATGGGATATTTAGAGACCGTTTCCATCAACAACAAGTGAAAAAGCGTTAAGTTCGACCGGGCCGATACTAGCATCGAAAATATAGGGTACCTATACCGAAAATTCATTGTACACCAAATACAAATTTAAGCAATTTTTAATGGATATTTTTCCTAAAAACCCCAAAAAGTGGTCCGAAATTGACGACGCATGGTGGAACATCCCCAAAATAATGCCTTTAGAGGTCACAGTTATATAAGGCCATCACCAATATACACAGGTTTTATTTCGCCCTTACAGATATAGCTCTATTTCGAAACTAAACTTTTTGCATCAGAATAGATTTCTTTACGCTACGTTCTCGACGTTCTCAATATCCTCTACAGGAGAAATAATTACAACAGAGTCTTAGAACCAAACCCAAATCGCGGAACAAATCAGATAACTATTTCAATATAAAAAAGGGGGTTAAATGGGGACTACCCCTAAAAGGGGGTGCATATGAATAATTTTTGGTAGGGAGATTTGTTACCATATACGACTACAAAATATCAAATTTCAGTGAATTCGGTTGAAAAACGCGCTCAAGAACCTCAAAATATCGAAGTTTGGGGCTACTTATATGGGCGCTACCAGAAAAAATGGATTTATATTTATAATTTTTAGTGGAGATATTTGGTACCCAATAACAACCCAATATACCAAATTTCAGCGAATTCGGTTGAAAAACACGCTCAAGAACCCCAAAATACCGAAATTTAGGGGGAACACTTATATGGGAGCTATGCCTAAACGTGGACCGATAAAACCATCTTCGAACTTGACCTGCCTGCACACAAAAATTTGGCGTTCTACAACAGACACACGGACATGGTTATATCGTCATAGAATTTTACGCTGATCAAGAATATATATATATATATATATATACTTTATAGGGTCGGAAATGGTTATTTCGATGAGTTGCAAACGGAAAAACAAAATTAATATACCCTCCATACTATGGTGGAGGGTATAAAAAGGACGAAGTGGATATACAAGGAATCGATTTAGAAGGTCGAAATGTTCCTCATTCGATTTCACTGAAGAAATGAAAGCAATATTTGAAGCTATCTTTACATGGGTAATAGGGTCAGCATAAAAAAATGACGCTATATCTCCGAACTTTGACCTGTGGCGATTTTTTCCTTTTGAGGTTTTTATATACCCCAAGTTCTTTCATACCCAGTAGGAATTTTCCACAATAGGAAAATTCCTATCTTTCGAGGATCTGAGGGGTATTATTTTTAAGGGGACAATAAAGTTACTTTCTCCGCACTTCTAGAGCGCACAAGAGGCCTCATATGGCTTATGTGTATGTCCTTCTCATGTTGGACATGTGGTGGTATCATCCACGCCTTATACCTACGGAAAAAATGTGCCTCATCTAAATATTGGTTTTAGACCCCATGTTTCTTTGGACCAAATCCGTTTCCGAAAATCTCGAGTCGATTTACCAATGTGTCTGCGGTCTGGCCAGCAGGTGCACACGATTTTTTCCTTTTGAGGTTTTTATATATACCCCAAGTTCTTTCATACCCAGTAGGAATTTTCCACAATAGGAAAATTCCTATCTTTCGAGGATCTGAGGGGTATTATTTTTAAGGGGACAATAAAGTTACTTTCTCCGCACTTCTAGAGCGCACAAGAGGCCTCATATGGCTTATGTGTATGTCCTTCTCATGTTGGACATGTGGTGGTATCATCCACGCCTTATACCTACGGAAAAAATGTGCCTCATCTAAATATTGGTTTTAGACCCCATGTTTCTTTGGACCAAATCCGTTTCCGAAAATCTCGAGTCGATTTACCAATGTGTCTGCGGTCTGGCCAGCAGGTGCACACGACAACTCTCGAAGGGAGTAAACGATTTCATCCAAACTTTTGCACATCGTAATATTTCTTCCAAACTTAGTTCAAGTTCAAAGATGAGGAATATCAGTGCAGTCCTTCTGGTATCTACTCCACAAAGTGCTAAAAATTAATTTTATAATATTATGCGAAAAGATTATTCGATTATAATCAATCTTTGCACAATATATTATATTTACCAATCCACGAATACGGGACCCGTTGGTCCACTCGTTTTGGTACCTCCAACACAAATGGTTAACATGTTCAATATTTATAAATCCAATATTATGCCAATGAAGTGTCCGATTTTAACCAAAATTTGTACAACCTATTGTCTTTTCTAAGCCTAGATCATGTCTGAACTAATTGGTTCATTCCTTTTGGTACCTCTCCTATAAAGGGTTAATATTTCCAATATTTATAAATCCAATATCAGACGAAACAAATGGCAAATACTGCTCGGGCCTCGATCATTTTTTATCAGGCTTGGTACTTTTATTATTTTATCGAAGTATCTCCTATAATTGTTTCGATGGGTAATTATGTTGTTATATAGATTTTTTTCATAAATACTCCTCCAAAACTTGTTTATTCCATACGTAAATAATTTTCTTTTTGCCATGTAGTCTAGTGTAATTGCGGCACTCGAACTAATCACTTTTGAAGGTCTCACTATTCGCGAAATAATTTAATTTTATTTTAGGCTTATCAAAAAACTATCTGTTAAAAAAAAAACTAATAACAAAATTTAAGTCATTTAATTCAAAGGTGGTACCATAAAACGTTCATATTATCGTCGACGCCCATTGCGGATTAATGTCTGACTACAAAAAAAAAAAAAAAATACAACAAAAATAAAATCCAAGAAGTGTGAACGGATTTATCGGAACTAAGATTAAAAGGGGAAACCCCACTGGTACACAGAAATGTTTTGATTTTTTTTTTATAAAAAGTGTTCAAAGAAAAAATCATATTTTTTATGACATGCATTTGTATTCTAGACTGGACATACACTCTAATCCACAGCATATATATTTATCATTTTAAGATTCTGATATATTTTGCCAGATATTTCTTATGAATCCGATTAAATTTCCATAACTATTTAATAGATTTCATTACAACTAAACAAAGCCCACTATTTAGTACCGTAAACAAAACCCCCTATTTAATTAATACACCCTTCTTGTTTCTCATTTCAGATTCTTGTTGCCAGTAGTGCCCTACCCTGGATTGGCTATTTAATCGGTTATTTAATGGCCATTGTTTGTCGCCAATCGCCACGTGATGCTCTGACCATTGCCATTGAGACGGGTATACAAAATACCGGTATTGCCATCTTCATGTTGAATTTCACGCTGCCACAACCCCAGGCGGATATGACAAGTGCAGTGCCGGTGGCTAATTCAATGATGACACCTTTACCACTGATCCTCATCTATTTGATAAGGAAAATCTTTTGCCGTACCAGTATCGAAGAGGTGGAAGAGGCGCCAACCAAAGAAGCTAAAATAATCGAAGTTGAAGCGATCATGGAAAAGGGTGAACATCAACAAAAATTTGGACGAAAATAGTATAACAAGGAAGAAAATTGTGATAATGAACAAGAAAAATATTTACTATGTGATTATTTCTAAGAAATTATGTTATTTATTTTTTACCAAATGATTGTTGTACTTATGTAGCGTATTTGTGTAGTTTGTAAGATTTTTATTAAATATATTTTATTTAAACAAATTAGTTGAACAAATTAGAGAAACCAAATATTAATAAAGTTATATATTTTATATAATTTAATAGCAGAATTAGATTTTCTGTTTGACTATGGGGAAAACCGAGATAGGATCTGGAAAAACTGAAATAAGAACTGCCTACACTATTTTAGGACCTTGCATTTGCGGTTTATAGAAAGTAGTGAAATAATTTGAAATTTAAGAGCAAATGAAGGACTATGTTAAAACATTGACAAATTAGGTTTTATATCCTCTTAGAAAATAATCCATTGAAATTGTTCTGCGAAAAATATTATTTACCCACGATGAACCCTGACTGCAAAATTATAGGTGGAAAATTTCGCCTAGAACTCGGTATAATCTAGCGAGATCTTTATATGCGGACTATTTACAAAAATTAACCTAATTGAACATTTTCCACATAGATGTTGTCGACAGATATATGCCTTCAGTATTATTCGTTTTATATAGTTTTCAAAGAGTTGCCCATCTTTTGAGAGTAACCAGAAGAGGTTGTCCTATAAACCCTATCTTAGAATTTAATGTATTTTAGGAAAAATATTACGATTTGCACAGTTTGGATCAAATCAGACACTCCCTTATATTAATATTGGATTAATAAATTTTCGAAATGTTGACATTTTTTGGGGAAAGTACCAAAAGGAAAATTTACACCATTTTGTGTGGGAGGTAGCAGAAGGTGTGGAACGATGGGTTCCATCTTCAAACTTGAATTGAGTTTGAAAGAAATATTACGATGTGCATATTTGGCATCATAAATAATATTAAATGTCATTGTCATTGAATTAAAAAAAAATAAATTTGGATTCGACCTAGTCTAGGTAAAAATATTGCGATATTTGAAGTTTGGATGAAATTCGATATTCCGTTTGCTTCATATTACATTTACAAGTTTCCAAAATTTTTACTCTATGTGGGGGAGGTACTAGAACGTAAAAAAATATACAGGCATGACTAAAACAATTGGTTGTGATCGGATGCTCTGTTCGCATGATATAATAAAATGCATTTCAGCACAATTTTTCACCATTTTGCGCGGGAGGATATTGGATTTATTGGTTTTCTATATATATATATATATATATAATAGAAAAAAAGACGCCAAAACCGCTGAACAGATCTTAATGAGATTTACACTGTATGTCGGGGCATGCCCTGAAAGTAACATAGGCTATATAAACTTTTAAAATTCCGCGTGGATGCGGAGTTATACCATCAATAGTAAACATACCTCAAATTTTCTGAATATGTAATATGAGTTTATCTTAACACTAGAAAGCCGAAGGCAGTCATTTTGACGGCTTTCCAATTTCAAGTAAAAAAGCAACTGTGCATTTAATGACACTTTTTTTAAAAATTTGGTGACTTTTTGTATCTCATAGAATTACGTTTATTATAAACAAATCAACAAATTTAAAATAAAAGTGTCATTAAATGTACAGTTGCTTTTGTACTTGAAATTGGAAAGCGGTCAAAATGACCGCCTTCGGCTTTCTAGTGTTAAGAACGGTTACAGATAACACCTTCAAAATTTATCTGTATATCGTAGGTTTGAATACACATTATTCATAAAAATATGAGCGAGATAAGATCGGTGGAAATGCACTCTCCGTTACACTTAAATAATCTACATGTAGGAAATAAAAAATGTTTGGTTTCTAGACTCAAAAACCGTTGAACAGATTTTACTGATATTTTTACCGCACATCATGCCATCCGAAGGAAATAATATAGGCTATATAAACTACCAAAATTTTGCGTGGATGTGGAGTTATCGCATAGAAAGCTTATATCTTTAGAAGGGTTACAGATTCCCACTTCAAAATTTGTCTGGGTAACTTGGTAGCAAATACGGATCATCCCTATAAAATTGGCGTGGTACAATAGGGGAAAATGTACTCCTCACTGCATTTAATTAATCTAAATGCAGAAAATGGAAACACTTTTGGTTGTTGACACAAAAAAAGAAAGTGACTATGAATTCAATATGGGAGATATCCAAAAGAGAAATGCTGATAGGAATAAAAGTTATAAAAGTCCGAAATCTGTGGTGGCTTGTCATTATAGCTGATATATTTGCTATAATGATATGCCATAAATCCTATCTTCGGACTTCATCCTGGTTTCTTAAGAATAACAATACTATAGCTAGGTTCGGTAAAAATATTATGATGTGATAATGCATTATTGTGAATTTTTCTTGGCAATGAAACAATTAAAAATACACAACTCAAACTTAACAGGGATCATACGTCAGGTATCTAAGCGATATTAATCGGATTGAGAAAGGCTTCCCAATCAGATCATGGGGAAATAGTTGAGAATACAAACATAAAAAATTGCTGTAATGTAAATGAAGGATTGTAGTGGTCTTCGAACGAATAATGAAAAACATGTAAACATTGGAGAAAATATATTTGTGTATGGTACTATTACAATTGATTAGAAAAATCAAGATAAATTTGTTTTCAATGATACCACCGTTATTCAAAGATTATTTAAAACTATATTTGTAATCTATTGAATAGAATCAAATATACTAATACACAGACCGGCTGCTACGAAATTATTACTGATATTACACTACGAAATACCTACAAATAGTTTTCGACGTTAACTATCCAATGTTAATAACTTTAGTAGGGGCAGCGAAGCGCCACGGGTTCAGCTAGTAAATTATATAAATGTTGACCCTTTGTGGAGGAGTTATCAGAAGGAGTGGGTCGATTTTCCCTATTTTCGAACTTTATATGAGTTTAACAAAATTAAGATGCGCACAATATGAATCAAATTGGACATACCATTTGCCAAATATTGGATTCATAAATATTGAAAATGTTGACCTTATGTGTGGGGGAGGAGTAGTCCAGGGGGTCCCATCTTTAGACCTGATCTAGCTTGATAAAGATAAAATGTTGTGAAAATTTGGGTCAAATCAAAGAGTACACTCGATTTATATTCTAAAATTAATTTTTGGCAAAGTTTTGATCATTTTGTGGGGGATGTATCAGAAGGTTCACTTCTCCCAAACTTTGTATACGTTCGATATTCCCCATCTTCGATGTTATATTCACTTTGAGAGAAATATTAGTATGTGTAAAGTTTGGATTAAAAAAAGCATGTTACTCCCTACGAGAGTGTACCAGCCAGACAGACGGTAATTTGTAAATCGACTCCAAATTGTCTAAAACGGAGGTGGTCCAAAGAAACATGAGTTCTAAAACCAATATTTCGATGAGTCGCAACCGGAATCCCAAATGCCCTGCAAAACTATATATATACATTTTGTTAGGATCTCCGACGAATATTTAATATGATTTCCCACCCATCGTTTATTATCCAAATTTGGCCCTTAGCGACTAGTTCCTGTTTTCAGATCGCAAAGGAAGACATTTCTATCGAATGAAACTGGGACTCCTTTTTATCTGTCCTCCTTCTACGAAGAAGCACTTCTAAAACATAACGGTCGATGGAGAACATGGATTAATTCATTTTTTTCTTAGTTACACCTTTTTGCATTTTAGCTAACGATATTTAACACAAAAATATTTTCAGAAAAAATGGAAAACATGAATTAAAAGTAAATAGATATGGGAGCATACTATAGTCAGGAGAAAGAGAATTATTTTTTCTATTTAGATTCATATCGTTAGCTAAAATGCAAAAAGGCGTAACTAACAAAAGCATAATTGTGTAGGAGAAGCAAAAAACTGTTTTGAATGAAAACTATAAACCTGTCATGTGAAATGAAAAAGTATGCCCGGCAGGGTGATATTGCATATGACGAATAATATACTATATTTTTTTTTAACAAATTTAGTTATTTAGTTTAATGGCAGTCATAACAGTTAAGTAAAAATTTGAATTTTTTTGTTAGTTACGCCTTTTTGAATTTATCAAATAAACCCACTTGTAGTTACGTCTTTTTGTTTTTTGTTAATAGAAGCACCTTTTTTGACCGCAGACGTGTAAAACTTTGTCAACACATGTAGTTTATTGACATTCACAATATTCATTCAAAAAGTCAATTTTCAATTTTTTGTTAGTTACGCCTTTTTGCATTTTAGCTGACGATATGTGATTCGCGCAAATATATTACAATATTGGTATGAAACAAGAAACAAAAAGTTTGAAATAAAAAACTCTGATGACATGAATTAAGAATAGTGTTGTATGAACTACGTTGTTCGAATGCCCGTCAGTACATGGCATTATGATGTTTCAGCTTTCAAATCAGGATTTGATTTTCCTGATATCTACGACATACAAGCCATCACCGAACATGCAGCATTGTCTAGTGGAAATTTTCTGTTGGTATATTATTTGTCCACGCACACATATGTCATGTCGATACTGAATATATTGAGTTATCAAAATTATAACAACATCATTATACCCTACACAACTATGTTGTCAGGGTATTATAGCTTTGTGCAGCCCCAAAAGTTTGTAACGCCGCGAAATATTGGTCCTAGACCCACCTTTAAGAATACCGATCGTCATATCTCGACTAGCTGAGTCGATCTAGACATGTGTGTCCGTCCGTCCGTCTGTCCATTATAATTTGTAAACACGATACAGGCCACATTTATGGACCAATCTTCACGAAATTTTGCATGTAGGATGGGTTCTGGCCAATGAAGACCCCTATTGTTTTTGGTAAAGATCGGTTAATATTTAGGGGATGAAATGGACCAAATACAAAATTTTTGTCGGTTTTTCTGGTCGCTCCAGAGGCCGCAGTTATGGTCCGAACATCGTGAAATTTTACATGGAGAAGGGGATGGGGCCTAAGAATAAGCATGTCTGTTTTGATAATG